CTTGAGTTTGCATGAATCTAAGATGCTCAAGAGATGAACCGGGAGTCCTCTCCTGTATCCCGAGCTCATTTCGCCTCGTAACTCTTCACCTGTTTGTGGCACCTGAACGGTCCCGATCACCATCTTGCTCTCACGCGCTTTCTCTCGATCCTGGAAAAGCCAGAAGCCAGAAACCAGAGCACCTCTGTCGCAAGCTCGAACGGGAAGGCCCCGACGTGCCAGGTGTTTCTTATTCCCCTCCGGTCGCGATTCCGATGAGTTCGCGAGGCCGAATATATTTTATTTTTTATTTTTGCATCCTGCCACAATGATAGTCTAAGGCTGCCGCCCATTGCGCACAGCCCGTGAAATTTCTTCAACCGAGACTGCGTGCGTCGTCATCATTTGGATTTGAAATCGAGCGCAATCAACTTGAATCTGGACTCACCTCGTACCAAAAAGCGACTTCGAATCCCGTTTGAATCATTCGAATTTACCTTCTCATTGAGTTTGGACTCACTTTTGGGATTGACGAGCCTGAGGTCTTAACAAAAAAAAAATTGAACTTTATTTCGGCTATATTCATGCTTAACCCATTAAGTCCCTTTTTTCTGTGGAATTTATCGGATTGCAGGACATAAATGTAAAAATATCATACTTTCCTACAAATATTGTGCACAAACGATGAAACAATTATTGTAGAATAAGGAAGAGTTCTGCTTTGCGGCAATAATTTTCATCTTAGAAATTTTTTTTTTACACATTGCCATCAAATTTTCAAAATTTGCCGTCCTACAAAACAGGACGATGAGACGAAATGGGTTAAACGTGACTCACACTTAATTTTGACCATAAGTCTTCTTCACAACGATTCTCGACTCAATCTTAATTGCATTTCGACTTTAACGAGAATCAAAATAAAGAAAACCTATAGAAACCCTCGAAGGTGTTTCAATTTCGACTTTGAACTTTCTGAGGGCTATGCAAACTCTGCCCACGTGTGCGAACTCCTGATAGCATGCCCCTAGCGATGCAGGTGCGTTCATCCTGTCACTTGTGACTTACAAGAGCTCCGTGTTAACGCGAGCATGGCTGCAAGGCGATTCTGGGGGCAGCCTCGCCGGGAAGGAGCACTTCTCGACCGAGGAGGTTTATGACAGTGAGGGAGCTCTCGGGCTCTCCGGAGCACTTTCGAAGGGGGCATCACGGGTGAATGAGGTCGATGGCCTCTGAGGCCTTCTTTGGGTTGGGGGAGATGCGATGCAACGATGACTGTCTCGGATAAAGCTGCCCCGGAAATTAAGTCACAGTTAAAGAGGGAATTAAGAAGCTCCGCGAAGTGGATTTTGAGTTAGACAATGTGGAGACATTTAGATAAAATTAGAATATGGATAACGCAGTTTTGTGGAAAAGGCCTGGCCTTTTACTGCCGTTACGCTGGACAGCTGGAAAGACTCTACCTTTGCAATTAATATTAAAATAGAATAACATCATAAGCATCCTGATCTCGGAGAATTTCATTGAATCCAAATTGAACTTAATCTTGGCCAAGTCAAGACCCCAAATATCGTCATGTGGACAGTGCTTGCGAGGTTATCTCTGGCTGAATTAATACTAGGGTGACCACATGTTCCATTTTTTCCGGATCAGTTCCGTTTTTGTCCCCCCCCTTAGTGTGTGATTACGAAGGAGATGGTAGCGGTGAATATAGTCATCTAGGAGTGTCCAGCGTCAGGTATCTGGAAATTTCTACACTCCACTAGTTTCCTTCCCCTCATCCAGGTGGTCACCATATTTTACCCTTCCGTTACTGAGGTCTTCAGTGATCACTTTTTATGGAGGGGAGTACTTCAAGTACTTCAATAAAATAATTATTGCGCTGGTTATACCAAAATCGCATGTTTGGACACAGAAAAAAAGCGCAAATTAACGTTTTACCATTTTTATTTTTGAATAATTAGTTTCACCGCTAGCACCGCTGGGACCCCCCTCAATAACGGAAGAGATAAGAAACTGCCTCTTAACGTTTTTCCGGGATGGAAATCTGGAAACACTTACACACGCATGCATATTTCCTGGTGCATTTCCGTGAAAAAGTCGAGATAAAGTGAAGCGGCCCGATGCCCAATCCCATCATTCGATGCAGTCGTTGAAAATCGCGTGAAAAGTGAAGATTTCTTTCTGTCTGTGGGAATGCGAGAAACCTATAATCTCGGCTAGAAACGTGTAAAAAAAAATCCTCGGCCGTTAACCTACGTGTTCTGCGGAACGGAGAATTGAGACATTATGCCCCATGCCAGCATTCGTTTCGATGGATGTTTCAGCTGCAGGGAGTGATTTTTACGCGGGGTTATGTAATACTGGATTCCGATTTTTGTCGCCTGGGAAGGGACCACGAGCAGTGCGGATCTTAACTCTACAGATTCTTGTAAAACAGGGGTGTCAAACTCAAATCGGTCGGCGGGCCGCATTCCTTCCCCTGCAGATGCCTGCGGGCCGCACCCTTAATTTTCCCCCGAAATTTTTGCTAACAGTTAATCCAAGCGGAAATTTCAAGAACAGACGTCGGGCCGGATGAACTACCTCCGCGGGCCGTATGTTTGACACCCCTGTTGTAAACGAAGGGGAGGCCCGGTGACACGCCCTATGTCATCAACGAACCACATAGTGAGAGATAATAACGATTTTTAATTTATTTTTTTTTTCGCGTAAAAGAGGTCGGACACACATTTTTCGTTTCTTGGAAAATATACTGCGTTCAAAGCCAGGCCACATTCACACACGCACGTCTTCCTTTATTTTATTTATTATTATTTTTTTGCATCGAGAGACAAACCCTCCAGTCCTCAATATCCACTCTCAACAGGGCAGACACTTCATCTATCGATAAGAGAGAACTCGATGTATACACATACGAGCACCTCCTGTACAATTTCCAGTAAAAATCCTTCACATCTCAATTCCCTTCACTTGAGGATCAAGCGATGGAGAGCTGTGACCTCTTTGTGATAAGCCAATTTTCTCATGCCACCAGCACAGCAAAAAGGAGGATTTGTGAGAAGATGGATGAAAAAAAGAACATTTGTTCTGCAAACATGGATATAACGGTGACGCTATCCGACATGCATTTGCCATTTGGCGCTCACATTGATAGAGATCAACTCTGCTACACCCTTTATTTTTTTATTGTAGGAACGGGGAAGGGAGATAAAAAGAATGCGAAATGGAAGGTCAGCCGTGGCCAGACGTAGGAGGGAGCTGCAGCATGACAGGACAGAGCAGGTTGGCGTGCAATGCAGCCAGGACCGTGACTGAATCCCCGTGGACGATCTAGTATGGTTCTGTGCATTAATTTGAATACTCGGGTAGCTGGGAGCTGAAATCAAACGCAAGCGGGAACGCAGTTTTGTATTATTCACTATGGGAGCTCTATCCCTCGTGTTGCCGAGACTTCGAGACACTATACTGACGGTCTCTGGGCAATCGAAAATCTGCCCCCGAGCAATATAGCAGCGATTGAAATGCTGGACCAGCCCAAGGCTGAATCCTGATTTTATCACTCTGTAAAGAGCCCGGCCGAAATCTGATTTTTTCTTGCTTACTCAATTTTCACTTAAGCAACTAGCTCTTCCCGAATAATTAAAAAAAGCATATTCTTTGCTGAAACTCAATGAGACTGATTTCGCGATTTCAGCCCAAGCCTTGACCAGGCATAACATAGTCATGGGCAGCTCTAGTCAGCAATCGCTAGATATTGCCTCTGAATGACAATCATAAAGCAGATTCACTTTGAGATAAAGGTTTCTTGTAGAAGTGGCCATCGACCTATTGACTGACTTAAACAATTGATGTCCCAAAAGGAGGAGGGAGATAAAGATAAAGATAGAGATTGAGTGAGTAAGAGAGAGAGAGAGAGAGAGAGTGTAGGAGGGAATGTGGCCTCTAGACTTTACTTAGGAACATCATATATGAAGTTGGTTCTTTTCCCTAATACTGAAGCTTCATTGTTGCTAAACCATTTTGAACAGCAGCCTTTGATATGAATGATAAGGCTCCTTCACTGCATGAAAAACATGAAAAAGAGAGGTGATGGTCAGCTGAATATGGCAGTAGAGAAGTGATGGGGTAGGGAAGATAAAATCAATGAAAACCTACGTTACCATATGAGGTCACAACTGTTCAAAGTGATTTTATATTTGGCTCAAAGGTTGGGACTCAGGTCCAACTTTGGAGATGAGCTTCTAAAAGTGACATGAAGGAAAACCTATGAGGATGCACATAGACAATGACACACAACCCTTAAGCTGACACCTCTGTCTTCATTTCCTATGGCAGGCTGAACAATGATGTTTAGCTGGAGGGGGAACATTTCACTGATATTTCAAAAGAAGTACATGTGCCTATAGTTTCAGTCTTCATCCAGGTGTCAACTCACTATCCAGATCTCATCTTGTGCTTGTTGTAATGTACTATGAGCAGATGGGTGATGTCACAAAGAGTAAAGACAATAGATGTCTCCAGGAGAGAAGAGCTTAAATGATGAATATGTACACTCTTACTTTGCTTGTTTTCTGATTACCATTTCACATTTCCAATATCTGACCTCATTTTGGACTTCCCAACTCTGACAACCTTTCTTTCCCTACAATAACGTTGATGATTCTCCAGTACTTAGATAATAATAGTACTAACAATGTCACTTATACATTTGATTCTTCTCTAAATCTCCATACCTGCAATTTTTTTTTCAAACAAACTGTCTGATGCCTATACTGAATGCCAGTAAAATTCTCTTTAGCAACTCTTTCAGTTTTATTTATTTAGAGAAGTCACTTTTCACCATTTGCTACACTGAGATTTGAATATAATTTTACTAGCTACTAGATGGAAAAGTTCATTACATTTGATAATGAACTTTTGAAGTACGCTTTCAAATAAGATATCAGTCATAGACTACCACAACCCACAAGGATATTCTCCATCCTTTGAAAATGATAGAATTACAAAGCAGTATACCACTTCTTGCATCAATGACTTTTTTTTATTGAAGAAAATACACCTCCAATACAACAGGGAAGTTGGCATAATTTATACAGAGAAAACTGTCCTGTTTCCACTGTCCCCATATGTAATGAGAACATGGGTGTTTTGTTGGATTGAGACAGACTAGGAGTTAGTTTCTCTTATGACAAGACCTGTACTTGTGAAATCAAGACCATTCAGGTTATTGTTGTCATCACAACTTTCCATCAGAAAATTCATCTTGACTCACCAAGAACATCATGGACTGTCACAAGAGGAATTATGGAGAGTGAAGAGGCCTCTTCATTTCAATACTGTTGATACGAAGGACAGCCAGTGGGTATTTGAAAACTGGGAAGCAGGAATCAAAAGCATTCATCAGTGAAAATTATTTAACAATAGTTCAAATGGATTCACTCTCATTGAATGAAGGATGAGACTCTTACAATGCATTCGCCGGTGACGCTTTCTCTTGATCATGAAAAAAGATGTGAAGGTATGAGTGAGTGTCTTCTCCACTACAGTTGCCTCTATCCTCACCAAATCTTTTGGCAGGATAGGCTGTCCAATCAATGACCATTCCCTACCACCCACAAGCAGAACCTGGTGCAGATACACATTCTTTCCTGAAGTCATAGTCAAGGAGGATGCTACTACATTACTATGGACACAACTTTAAGTCATTCACCTTTTCTAGAACAATCCTATCTCCTATATCTGCCTCCAGCCATATTTGAGGTGCAATGAGGTCATTGACAGTCACCTTGTACTGCCAACTTGCCATTTTCACGACAGCAAAGAGTCTGCTATGAGAGTGATCCTTTATCTGCTCATTAATCCTGGTGAGAACTTCTGTAATAAGATCAAGAAACAAAAACCTGGCATCAGCATTTATCAAGGATAATTTTTGGTTAGACACATTTTGGTTGACATTTGGTGGGCACCAGTCGTAGGCTTGAGCGTGTAAAAAAAGTCTTTTAGCATGAAAGTCTTCAAGCCCATATATTCCTGTTTCCAATAGGGACTTCATATAACTAATTCTTTGTGAGAGTCTAAGCACCAAACATGCAAGAAGTGACCTTAGATCATCATAAACAGGATGATCATGCATAATCTTGAAACTTTTCTATGGCCTCTAATATCCTTAAAAGCATGAATATACAATCTAATGCCAATGAGCCTACCTCGAGTGACCTGCTTTGATTCTCCAGAATCTTCCACCATAACTTCTTGATCTTCCATTGGAACTTTGTAGACAGGAACACCAGGAGTCCATTTCTTACTCCCTGTCCTTACTGCTCTAGTGCATTCCAGGGAAGGCAAAAATGTTTTTGAAGAACTGAACAAGGCGTAACAATTCTCCCTTGTGGAGTGGCTTCCAACATGTTTCAACCCATAGGTTCTTGCCAATATTGATGACACATTAGTAAGAGGAGATGTAGCACATGGGATTCTGATGTGTCCTCCCAGTTGACTGCAGTTTGGGGACAGGAGGCACTTTAACTTTGAGCTTGTAACCACTAGACACCGCATAATATGAGGTGATCTGATGACTGACTGAACCATGATTCAGTCCACAGAGTATACCTGGATGATGGGTAGTACCAGATATAAGCAATCCATCAAGAAGTCACTTAACATGCTCAAGGACACATGTTGTTCCCATATTTGTGTAAGAACCCATATTTTTTATTATTAAATAGCCCTCTACTATCTACACTAGTGGTACTCAAAGTTTACTTTTGAGTCAGGGAGTACATTCAGAAGTGACCAACCTTATGTGGGCTATGCTGAACTGAAAAGGTTTACATACTTCATTAGAAACAATGTTTTACCTTCATGAGCTGCAAGTGAGGCCTTTATGGGCTTAATTCAGCTTATAGGTTGAACACCACCGATTTACATGATGAACTGAGAATCTGATCTGTATACACCTCCAATTACCAAATAATCTGTACTGTGAATTTCCTCCTACAAGAAAACAGGAGTCTGGTTTGGCCCATAAATGTATAAGATACAACAATCATTCAACACTTCACACATCAGAACCTGGCTGCCAGTCATGTCAGTTGACTTGTGAGTCTAAATTATGGCAACCCAAGGCAATAACCAGGCACACTCCTTTCTCATTTTATGTAGCCTACTGGTTTGTGGATCCTACTGTTATGCACACTAACTATTGAGGTAACTGTGAAGTGTAAGTTAGGCTGCAGGCTGGTTGGTAAATACAGAAATAAACCTGGGATGCAACAAGCAAAGTGCAAGACCATAAAAATTCTAGATCTAGACCTATGGAAATTCAATTATACTATTAGACTAGCATCTGATGCCTTCGTCTAGGCCTACTGAATGAAGCCAGCACCTCAGTGCACCTGAATATGATCCAAATATTTTCTTAACAAATAGTATATGGTGTAAGGTCTAGAGTGCTTCCATGTTTTATGCTATACATTTTTTCAGCTTAGGCCAAGGCCTTTTTAATTCATTGTGACACCCATGATTGGGAAGTGCTATATACGGGTGTTGAAGTTACCTGAAAATGTAACAATTAAGTGAAAAAACTGTAATTGTAATGAACTGTAATGAAGAGATTTAAGAGCTAAACAAAGGACTATCCGCGTTCTGGTAGTCACAGGACTACTTACCACACAAAGGACAAAGGCAATAAGATTAATTTTATTCCATCATAATCCTGATACACGATACACACTTAGGCGCCCAAGTCATTCCGCATTAATTACAGCGCAATTTCTTCCACGTGCTAGGACCAGCTGCGAATTTAAAACGTGCATCTTATGCCAAAGAGAACGTTTGAGCACAGTAATTGGTTGGGGTTGCTTCAACGTTCATATTTCATGATAGCCAACTCTCAACTTCCTAAGTAATTCGGTCTCGCAACGGCAGAAGAACACGTGCCACCGCAGCGGAGCGCCATATTGAATGTATATAGCAGAGACTATTCCGCGTGGGGATTGGCTAGGCAGCCTGGTGGTAAGCAGACCGGCGTAGCTGCAACACTATATGCAGCGGTGGAAAATTCTCTGGTACTCTGGTCCATCGGAAAATGGTTCTGTGCATATTTATTCTTAGATCGTCGATTGCTCATTCATCCGTAGAGCACGTGCATGTTGACGAATGCAAGATGTCTCCATGGGAGACGAGACAAAGTTATTAAAAACCGATATCCTCGGAAACATTACAAGAGCTTCAATGGCATCCCGCTGCAGTGTGAATTACATTTTTACCAACTCACAAGAGATTACTGTGGTCGTTTTTTCGTTTTGTGCTGATTTATGAACAGTTCTTCCGTTCGGTAATCGAAAAATCAAGGTGCTGCATAGACCACTTGCCTTTTGTAAAACTGCTGACACCTAGTGTGGTACAAATCAAGGATGGGTCGGATTTCTGAGGCACACAGTTGGCACATTGCCACATGTAGCATGGGAAATTTAGATGCCAGAAGGATTGGATTCCATCCTTTCGGCCGGTCTCGGCAGGAACTTCAGCACGTGCTCGACCGGTTCGACTCGGAATGTGCTGCGGCCGGAACAGGAATGAGGGTCCCCAAAACGCAGATCATGATAATTTCGAAAAGTCCTGTAAAGCGCGCCTTACATATTTGGGGTGCTCCGCTGGAAAAGGTTTAAGTAAGCCTACCCTGAGGTTTGGTTCTCAAGTGACGGGCTATACAGAAACGAGCTTGGAAGCCGCATCTCCAGGGCTTTCGCAGTTTTACGGGAACTCTGGAGGACTGTAGTTGCCAAACCTGAGAACTAAGGAGGCGAAAGTTTCGGTTTTCAACACTTTGAGCGTTGGCAATATGAATGCGCTATGGGCGTTGAACGACATATGAAGGGAGCAGGGCTCGAAGTGTTACATATAAGAGCGTTTACCTTCTCACCCTCACCTATAGTCATGAACTGTGGGTAATGACCGAAAGGATCGGGTCACGGATACAAGCTGCCACGATGAGTTCTTGCAGTGGGTGGCCAATTTCAAGGCGAGTGAAAAGATGCGAAGTGCTGCCATCTGTGAGAGCCTCCATGTCAAGCAGCTACGCATTCGGATTGAGAGATCCCAAACCTGTTGATTTAGATACGTTTCCCGAGAGATTTCCAAAGCTATCCAATAGAAAATGACCGGCGAAAGAATAGTTGGTAGGCTTCGTGCAAGGTGGACGGACTACATCGGGAATCAGTCACGAGAGGCTCTGTATACCACCTGCCAAGCTCGAGTTTGTTGCCCGTCTACCAGTGTACGCGATCTTGGGCAATGGATGCAAGCTCGGCAGGATCGCGAATACATCAGTGACGTGAATCCTCCCTGCACTCAGCCTTCCCCGGGTTAGGAGGCGAGGATTGCTTTCTGTCAGAGGCGAAGGGAGACACTTACAGTGCAAGCGTTCATCCTGTTAACGGTCGACCTTCAGCGTGCAGATTTTCTTTTGCATTTCACCATTACTGAAAAAAACATTACTGGCTTACGGCGACTCAAGCAAATAGTTCTCTCCTGGAAATTGCACTCATTATTGTAATTTATTGGCAAATGGATCTTCACTCGATAGAATCCATTTCATACAAGGGGGCATTGTCCAAAGTTACATAAGCCTTGGGCAGGAAAGAAAGCGGGTTTCTTCTCTTATACGATAAGTGGCGAATGGAATAGGTTGCCAGCTGGGATTGAGCTCCAACTGCAGGTACCTTTAATAGCAAAATGGCAGGGTATATTAGGGAGAATAAAATACTGTTAATGTTGGTGAAATGCTTAGAGATTTAAATAGCATATAATCTGGATTTAGGGCCTCCTGAATTATGAAAATTTATATTCCCCACATCCAGCTTGCCTTGTAGTTTGCTTTAAGTAGCAACCATTACTGTTAAACTCCTTGTTTGCTACTGTTCAACTCCTTGTGACAAAAAATAAAATAAAATGAAACTTCAATAACTACTAAAAAAAAATCCATAGTTTTCTTCATAACACTTAGAAGCATGACAATATTTCACGAATCACAATTCACAAAGAAGGAAGGTCCTGGGATAGGGTTCATTTCAGGCTCCTACGTAGGTTGCGCCGAGCTATCTGAGCTCTGATGTTCAAAGCCTTTGTCAAAGGTGTCAAACCTGAAAATAAAACAGTCTTTAGCATTAGATATGACTGCTGAGGTATCTGGAATTATGTATTTTCATTTTAGCCATACTTTTAGCCAGGTCTTAATTATGCACTTTGGAGCTCTTGGTTCACCCCTTGAATAAAAAAAATCATATTTCACATTGAAATGTAACTGAAAAATCATTTAGCATCTTCTCTATGAGGAAATTCCATTTTCTACTGGGTGAAGTTTTGCTGGGATAAAAAGGATAAGATGTCAGAGATGTGTTTCCATATGACACTGGCTTTTCCCAAATATCAACTTATCAGAACAATCAGTAACTGACACTCATTCATGTGGTCTCAGATACTACAAGGGGAGCACTGAGGGAGAGTCACCTTGTCTCTGGGTACTTCCTCATTTATAAAAAAAATTGTTTCCATGAGCCAGCAGCTATTGTCTAGAGCAGTGGTTCTCAACCGGTGTGCCACAGCACACTAAACACATGGATGTTCTATGGGAGTAAAAGGGAGGTTGAGAAGCACTGGTCTAGAGGCTCCAATTAATTCTCTGCATTTCACAGAAATACACAAAATCATTCATACCACTAAACTATGCCATCTTTTCTTTTCTCCTCCCCCCACTTCCAGGCATGACATAAAATGACATTTTATAGGATATGGGGGGGGGGGGATAAAAATACACATCCCATGCTCAATTGGATGTTTCATGAAGATGCAAGTGAAAGACGTGCTCAATTTGATTCAACCTAGGTTTCTGATCTTAGAATTTGTGAATCCCACTTTTCCCTCTCTTTTCATAGGCACATTAATTTAAGAGGGGTGTCCAGAAAGTTTTACAAGCTTCTACTGAAGAGGTATACAATCATTGCCCTCCAAATGGCAGAAGTGCATAGATTCAAACTGAATAATTTTCAGGGGAAAGGGGGGTGTGACATTTCTAAGTACGGATTTTGGTAGTTATAACAATGGCTTAGTTTTTATTAGATGTTTGCAGAAACTTTCCAGACACTCCTTGTACATTCAGACAGGGATAATACACAACACAAAGGTGTTTTAAATTGAATACTATGGGGACAATTCAAGATCTTTGGGAGTCCCCTTAGTGATTTCTATGGGAAAAAGGTTAAGAAACACAGGATTTGACCATACAATGAAGATCTAAACTTGTGTGAATTATAGGATCAGAACAAGATAGTGGCTCAACATTAGGATTACAAGAGGAGTGCAATCCAGATTGCAAGTTGCAAGCACTCACTCAGAAGTAGAGAAAATCCAAGTAATGCTGATCTGAACAATCTTTCATCTTTCAATCATTTGTTCCAAAGCAAAATGAAACATTGAGAAAGCAAGAGACAAAAAATGTTTGCCCATTGTATAATGCAAGTATATGACTAAATGGAAAGAACATTCCCAATGCTACAAGCCTTTTCCACAGAGCCACTCTTCCAGAGAGTGACTCTGTGGAAAGGACTAAGATGAAAATGAGAAGAGCACTTTTGATGGGGTCAAATCCAATACAAAAACTGGAAATCACATTACTCTCATTCAGGTGCTCTTCTTGCTGCAATATCATATCAGGCTTTAGTTGCATTTAGTACACTACTATTGCTCATAAATAAACCTTGAAATACCAACAGTCCTTTGAGCAAAAATAGTGCCCTGGGCAACCACACCTGAACAGGCCTTCCTCTTGCGACTCCTACTCCCAAGAGGTTGGGTGAGAACCTCTGGAGTAGCTTGAGAAGTTTGAAGCCTTGAACTCCTAGAGGCCATCTCAGTTGAGATGTCAAATCCAGATGCCAGATCTGCTGCTTCTCTGCGCTAAAAAGGAAACCAGTCACAAGGTGAAACTAGACCTAAAACTTGATCTTCAGGGGGGGGGGGGGGAGAATCCCATCAGAAATGAAAGATTAGGAGGCACTTGAAGATGCAGGCAAGCATCTAGCCACTTACTTTATGAACCTTTGCACATGTTGACTTTTATTCTCACAATAACATTTACTGCAGTTTTATAACAAGTATAAAAAAGTGCCTTATTTATTCATATTCAAAGAGCAAAATATTCATCTATGCCAGTGGTTCCCAAACTGTGGTACGAGTACCACTGGTGGTACACAAGAGGTTTCAAAACAGACTTATTTTAAAATACTTGCATAATAAAGTATTAGTCTTACATTTACATACTTTGTGGGATATGTATATGTGGAGCAAGTGGTGGTATGCAATAAATGCACCCTGGAGGCAAGTGGTATGCAGAGGTTGAAAGTTTGGGAATCACTGATCTATTTCACCACACATCCATTATTCCGGAAAGGTTTTTGAAAAAACAAACCCTTCCAAAAACCAAATTTTCACTCGTGAGTTCTTGACGGACTCAGTTCCAAATGCACAAACTTCGTTTAGGAGAGATAAAAGGGTTCTTCAAGCTAAAGAACTCTTTCTCCACCAGAGGAATCCATGTATTCTAAAAGGACTGTTAACTAAAGGAGGTTTCAGCATTTGGGCTGTATTCACTAAGTTACAATGCACTATTAGACCCTGCACTGACCCATATTACATCACTCAACTCCTCATTATTTTGAAGTTTTTGGAACATGCAGCCATCCAACTAAAAGGGAGATTCATCTTTTTAGTTTCTCATTGAAGCTTCACATAGAAAAAAAAAAAAATTGCATGATTGCTACATTGCATGAAAAGGCTCCAGAACATTCCAGAAAACACATATTACAAAGTACCTTTCTCATTAGCTCTGACTGCAGAGCATGAACTCGTTGTTGTGCAGACAGTACAGAATGCCTCAAGTCCCTTGCATGCTCCAACTGGGGTATAAATTGTTCTTGCTCTGAAACACTCCTTCTCAGTTTTGATAGCCTGCTTTTCTTCCTCCCTATGGTCTTTTCCTCATCTTCAATCAATCTCTGTGCCATGGTTTCAGATTCTTTTGCAAAGGAGAACATAGGACAAGAGATAAGCATGGATTACATGTTCCTGGGTCCAAAAATTGTTTCTCTTTTTTCTATTCAGGGTACAGAATATCCAGAAATGCTAACCAGCTAAATGTTCCATAACATCAATGAGTCTTCTCTCCTCTGCCTCAAGAGTTTCCAGCTCCGTCTTTCTCCTCTGAAGTTGTTCTTCTTCATGCTCCAATTGAGTTTCCTCTTTCTGGATTTCCTCTTTCTTGGCAATCTGAAATCCAATTGCAAGAACTTTGAGTTATCTAAATAGAGAGAAGAATCATTGGGGCAGGTCATAAAGACTGAGCACTCACAAGGCGATTGACTGAATAGACTGGAAACTTTGTGAACATAGGATATGACCCTGTTGGCAAAGGAGTGAAGTTAGATGCTCCTTCAGTCAATGACAAACTTTGGTGAATGGTGTAAGCTTTCTTAAGAAGCTGCCTGATGTCCAATGCATTCTCATTTCCATAAAACAACTGGAAAAAAGAAGAGGAAATCAAGTAGCAGTCAAGTCAACCAGGAGTCTGTCCTGCATGCAGAAATGATAAAAGAATCTTGTTTGGATCTGAATGCAGCAATGATTTCTTTAGACCAGAGAAAAACCATTAGGCTTTTATTACAAAATGCTAATTATTTTGCTCATATATTATTATATTATTGAGATTTTGTAATAGAAAATTATGATTCTACAAAACAGAAGGTCAGAAAGAAGTGCCAGGCATACATACTACCAGACTCAAGATTGCTCCCATCTCAAACTTCAAGCTCCTGTAATGATCAACCAATGGGAGTGACAGGACACAATATGGCCTATGATGTGATGAATACCAACTGTCTGTCTTCTTTTAGTGGATCTCCTTTCCAAAATTTTTTTTTTTTTAAGTTCCAACCTGTAACTGGTATAAATATGAAGGCCTGAAGAGCATCTATCACACAAGAAAAGTTGAAGTTGCATCTCCATCCTACTCCCCATCCCCCACACACAGGAAAATCTGCCCCACATTTTTTCTTCTTCAAAACTTGCATAATTAACTTTTAGCCTTGTAATGACTGTTCTGGGTCCAATGGACCCTGTCACAAAAATTTAGCCATGTGTGCTTGTAAAGTGCAATACTCTGTGTATTCTCATGAAGATATGTAATACTAAGTAAGGCTAAGTATTTTGATGAGATGAAATAGAGTTAAACATATGACCATCCAGGTTCTGATAGTTACTGGGTTAAGGAAGTAATTCCATGCCAAAAATTAAAACATTTTCTGAATCCTCTTTCCAATAGCTTTCATTTGAGTGATTGATGGGTTTAATTGCACCTCTGGTAAAGAGGAAGTCGATTATAGGGTCATCACCAGTTTCCCCCTTACCCTTAAATTTTGGGAGGCAATACCTTCAAACTGGTTGGGTAGACTGTGCTGAAATTTTTAGTCACACCCATCATCCCATAGGACAGCAAAATTTCCAAAAGTCAAGCTAATCCATACTGAACAAGCAACAACTTTGGTTTATATGGAATGACCCTACTTTAAAAATATGGTCTATTTACTTACAAAAAAGTTCCTATATATGTGCTATTTGTGACAGTGCTACTTTTCTATCTCCCTCTGTATAACTTAAAACATTATTCCATAGGTAATTCTAATAAACTATCATAATACCCTTCACTTCTAATTTCACTATTATTAAAAACAAAGCTATTGCAGCTATTTGTGCTTACCTTGCCACAGAAAATAAACTTGTTTTGGAAATAAATATGTATGGAATTGTGGGATTATACAGTGAAAGCTTCATAGTTTGAAATTATTTGTTCTAAATACACTCACTTTGAATTCTTCAGAAGTTGACAACAGGAAAATAGAGTTTCTTAGGAGAATATTGTAGGATACCACAATGCAGATGAAAAAACTGGATGGATTCACCAGGATGTGGTCCCAAATGCACAGCCATTCATCTTTGGTGAGAACCTGCACCATAGTAATTTCTGCTGTAAATTTTTCAAGGATTTATAGAATAAAAATAAAATAGAAGTGCTGAAGTCCTGAATATTACCTCAGACAGGGCAGTAGACAACAATGGCCATGCATATTGAGCTGTAGTAATCTTGTGCTGTCTGAAGTGCTGCACAAGCTTTGAATCTTGCTCCAGCAGAAGACTTTCTACTGATGCCAACACATGGAATGGTAGCTGTGGCCAGTATTCAAACCAGTCTCCACACAAGTTCACTATAATAAGAAGAGAGATTCTACTCTCTTGGGAATCAGGATATATTGTGAACTTTCTATCCCTAAAATGTCTGATGACTCAATGAGTCCTGGTACATTGTGAGCAATTCCCAATTCATATGGGATCATCAAGTGGCTTTTAACCCTGTAGTAGTCGTGTGGGATTCCAATCCTCACACTAGTGGGGGTAAAACCAAAAAAATACTGAAGGGTTAAAGTCCAGTAGCCAGAATAAAATTTAAATACAAGGAACCCTCTCCAAGACTATATCAACCAGATCATGAATAAAATGAGACTAAGAAAATAAGCCTATGGTATAAGGAAATAGCTAGCTGGAAAGTAGAAAGAAATGGGAAAAGTGAGTTTATTATTTTCATCTCAGGAAGGCAAGGATATAGCATAATTACTCCCCTTAGATATGCATAGTTAACAGTTTGTTCCCTGATTATGAATGAAATAATGTTTCAGTCTCAACTTATAGTAGAATTGAGGAGAAAGAGGGAAAAAAAAACTTGGTGAGGAAAAGAGTCATTAGATGCTACAAAATTCTTTCTTAAATCCAGAGCCTGATTTCTACCCCCCCCCCCTCACAAAAAAATTGCCAATCTGTAAAATCCTTTAAAAATGTAAAGTACAGTAAAGAAAAAGATTTTATTCATCCATAACACTGACCTCTCTCAATTGCATAATAGCCTTCATTCAGTTCCTCTTGAAATATTTTTAACCCCATCCAATGAGAAGAAAAACACAGTTTCCATATTCTAGGGAAGACACAGTTTTGTCAATGAATAGTCTCTCACATCTTCCAATCCAATGAGTATTGAAAATTGAGAGAAAAACTTGATGGTGGAGATCTTGAAAGCATGCTGAATGGGGATCAATCAAACTCACCAATTATAGTGACCACAGTCTCAAAAGCTGCCAAGATGTTGTGTCGTAAAAAATGAACAAAAGGGAAGATGAAAACAGGCAAATAATCAGCTGCTGCAAAAATTGGACACCAACATGCAAGGGCTGAACAGACTCTGAAAAAAAAGAAGAAATATTATGAGTCTTTCAAAATATAAAAGTTTTACCTCCATTTTTTGTGACAGAACTCAAGGATAATTTTTCAAAAGCCCATATTTAAGGCTAAGACTTACCTTTGGAAGGTGGACATCAAGGCCTTGTTTTCAAGAGGGTAATGCTCAGCTATTTTTTCATATGCTGAATGAATTTTCCCCTTCTTTAGAAATTTTGCCAAACATGCTCCATTGCCAGGAAGTTGCAACACCTTTTGCCAAATATGCGCTCGGTATTTTGCAGGCAATTCCCAGTACTCCTGAAGTATCTCCCTGAGTTCATTCCTATCTATTTTCACTCGTTTTGACCTCCTGCTTCCATCAAGTCCAGTGAAAGAATTCATGGCAAGACATCTACTAACCTGGAAAATAAAGCAGAGATGTAAGCCTAAAATCGCCAAGTATGCAGTTATGGCATGAAAATAGACTCTACATGACTTGAACACAAATAGATCTATGACTTTTATCCCGTGTTAGACTTCTTTCAGACTTTCTTTGAAGGCTTCTGCAAGGAGTGAGATACAAGGTGTTTACCACTTTCCAGAGACCATGGAAATGGAGGCAATAGCACATCAACATGGAAATATTTAAAGTACTCCTATAGCAATCTAAAGGTAAATTTTATATTCAAAGTTATGCAGGGTTGGTTTTCATTAACTTATGAGACCAAATAATGAGGATGGCAGAATATTAGCCGAATATACCCTTAAATTGTAAAAAAAAAAATAGACCATTCAAAGGATCTTGATATTTTTCCATTGATTTCAACTTTTTTTTCACTTTATCACACTGAAGGCAGGCTAAGTATTTCCTAGTAGGAATCCCCCACCAATAAAATAAGTTACAGCACAATTAAAACCTGTCAGATTCAATAAAACAATGCTAAACTCATCTAAAAGGGACAGTAATAGCCAGGATGAGCCTAATAAGCAAACTGATGCTGGTCTCTGGCAGAAGTCTTAACTTGAACATTTTTGGGCAAAGGGTCACTAAGTTAAACATTAACATACATTAGCTATGTGTGCTCAATCGCTACACCTGGATGATCAGAAATTAAAGTTAGATTCACAGTCAACCCCTCTCATAGCATTTACCACAAGGGTATGAATGTAATGAAGAAATATCTTGTCCCCTATTCAACAGCTGATTGCAATATTGCATTCTCATTTGAAAGTACGTAAAACGTGTACATATGTAGGTGAAGGATCCGTATTAGGCAGCCTGAATGCAAAGAGACTTTTTGAAATAATACAAAAATATCATTTGATCAAAACAATAGGCCTAAAACCTCTTGCCCAGAAGGCGAGCAGCATTGCATGACATGTATCCCTATAAAATAATTATTTTCTATACCAACTACATAGGAGAGCCAAGCTTGGGGAACCAGGCTTCTCATAGGTAGGCCAGGGAACAGATGGCCTCAGAAGTAGGCCTAGTGCTGACTGCGAACAGTGAAGCTCCCCAGCCTCATCCTTTTTGAACTGTGTGCCTTCTGCTATCTATAGTCGTGATGCCATTATGGCGCTGCCCACCGGCGGTCTGTTGGATTCTGGAGGCGTTAGTATGAGAGAGAAGTTGGAAGGAATTCCAATGGAATATTCAACGACTGTCAATCGCTGTCTGCGGTGTTTTATGCTATTCGAACCGGCCGACCGCCTCCTTCGTAGCTCACATCAGACATTTCTGTGAAGCTGAATAATGACTTCAACTGAGAACCCGGGATCAAATTCTGATGCCCAGACCCTGGCTGACTTCCTGAAGAGAACGCATCGAGATCTTAGGAATAGATGCCGTCTGGAAGGTAAAGTGATTCATGGTCTTTCGTCGAGATCTTTATTGTCTCGTATGGAGCAAAGTCGCTAGTACTTAGGTCTTAACTTCAACCTAGGCGTCACTGTGTCCCAAGAGGCTTAGGCGTACGAAGAAGCGTTACAGTAATACATTTCCTTTCTGGTTTCTCCATGTCTAGATCCAGAAGTGGCCTGGGAAGAGCATCGCAAGAATGAGGAGATCCTGAAGAAGTATGCAGAGAGCATGGAACAACTGGCTACAAAGCATTGGGATGAGAAATTTCAAGAAGATCCAGAACAATCAAGGTTGAGGTGGTGCAAGGAGACAACCTTGGACTTCTTTTACCAGGGGGGAATCTGCAAAGCCAAGGAGATAGATGATAAGAAGTGTCAGAAACATGGGCTGAAACCTGGAGCTGAGAATTTCTACAGGTGAGGTCCATGTTCTGTTTCCTCTTGTTTCTTGCCCATTCTGAAAACAAGAGATCTATGCACATATTCATTCTCCCCTAGGTTTCCAGATGTCAAGGTACGTCTCCTGGATGTGGGAAGTTGCTTCAATCCATTTTCTGAAGTAGAGCAGTTTCAAACATGGGCAATTGACATTGCTCCAGCCAAAGAGGTGACAAGACATATTTAAAAATGAATTATTTGTTGAATATCCTATGGATGGCCATGATATCAAGGCCTTTCATTTCCCTTGCAGAGTGTCTACATGTGTGACTTCCTGAGGGTGGACCTATCAGCTGAATCTGTTCCAGACATCTCAGGGAGAGAAATAAAGGCATTTCCTAGAGCCTTCTTCCATGTGGTAGTATTCTCCCTATTTTTAGAATACCTCCCTGTACCTCTGATGAGGTACACAAGTTGCCAGAAGGCTTTTGACCTGCTTCAGACCAATGGACTTCTTATCATTGTAACTCCAGACTCAAAACGCAGAGGAAGAAATGATCAAATGGTGAAATCATGGAAAATTGCATTGCAAAGGATGGGATTCCTGCGCTACAGTTTGCAGAGGCGTCGGCATATTCATTGTATGGCCTTTCGAAAGCTCCCCGTTCCACAGGTGGCATGGCTTGAGGCTGACCGTGACTGGAAACAATATCATAAAGAACCACTCACACCTGAAGTGCTGCCTTCCCTGCTTTTCATTCCCCAAGACTCAAATGCAGAGCTCAATGAATCATCTCATGAAGTCTCTAAGGGTGATTTGCATTTTGGACCTGATGACTTGAGAGATAATTTCAAAGAGCTTCCATTTTTCTCTGATTGAGAGGGAAGCTGATTTCATTTCCATTTCCATTTTTGTTACCAGTACAAATGATATTACTTAAATTTATTTTCTTAAGAAAGAGATTCTGTCGTTGATGTTCTATTTTTATAGGATTTATGCTATTTGGCATCCACTTTTTGACAAGAAGCATGGCAGCTGCTGCTGTGACTTTCTGCATGGATTAGGACTTTGGAGGATCACATGGTAATGCTTCATTTTCAGGGCCGGATTAAGAAGTTACGAGGCCCTGGGCAAGCAGATTCATAGGGCAACCCCCCCCCCCCCCCCCCTACTACTTCACACAAATACTTAACGTTTTTAATTCCCTTCAGGGGCCCAGGGCAATAACCCCCTTTGCCTCCCCCTTAATCCGGTCCTGTTCATTTTGCATAGCTAAGGTCCTTATAAAGATTTGTTTACTGTCGGCTTGATATTGAACCATGTTTCCAGGTTTGCCCATTTTAGCCTTATGATTCTTTCAGAGTTCATTATCTGATAATCAGGGATGAGAAAACCTGTAGCAATTCAATGTGAGCTTTGACATATAACTTCCACTCAAGAAATTATCATTGAAGGATAGCAACACCGATGAACTCGTGACCACATTGTCAGATCCTGAGAGCAATTGCTATTTCCGCGCCCAACTAATGCTCAACCAAGACAATTCTGAAATGGAGACAGAAACGTGCTGTGGATTCTTCCCGCCATACGACAGCACAAAAATCCTCATAAAACAGCAAGCTGCGATCAGGGGAGAAAGGAGCTTCAAGGTCCTCGTTGAGGATAGGAGAAAAAACTGAATATATATGCCTAGTTTACATAATGTACAACCCTTTTTCCACGTCGGCATTATTTTTCTGCTATTGAAGAATGAACGTGGAAGTCATGCGAATGAAACACTCAGAGCAAAAGCAAGTCATGCATTTATGCATATTCCTGCATTGACACGCCGCACTTTGGCAAATGAAAGCTGTCTATCCTCTCGTCTGGGAGCGATAGCCCACTAAACATGGATTCCGAAACCTTGAAGATTAATGCGTAATGTATTCCTCAATAAAAGTGATGTGCTGTGAATTTAATACTAAATAAAATTGATTCTTCCTTCTGTTGTGCAGTGGTAAACCAGCAAGCAAAAAGTAAAGAAAGGAAGTACGTGAACGCGAATCTATGTCCTACGAATCCATTGCTTGAAATGGGGCAGGATGCCATCCTACCAAGGTGAAAGTTTCACGCAACCAGTACAAGAGTGACAGAAGGCTCATGGCAGCTCGCTCAGCACCTCCACCCCTCGTTCAGTACTACTCCTCTGGAGAAGGGTTATACTGTAATAGAAGTGGAAGTATCCCCAACCCCCCCAACATCAAAGGGGAAAAAAATCCCATCTCGAGCACTGCGCAGTCGATTTTCCAAGAAACCACAAAATATGAACCCTTCGGTTTTACTATGTATAATTTCTGCTAAATTCTGCCCACAGGGACTCTATGGTGATGATCCAGAGCCTCCCCCGGGCATAATTTAACAGCTTTACTATACCTTCACTCTCATTTGGTGCACTTTTCCAATCAACCTCTCCTTTCGCTTTTGCGAGTGCCTTTTTAATGCTAATGCTCTTTTTATGGGCCTAAAATTGTTGTGCGTGCCTTTAGACTTTAATACAACCACAATGAACGAATTAGCAAGATTTCGTATGCAAGGAACAGGTGAGTGGTTCGGTTGGTAGCTCCCGTGACACCGATTCAGGCGTTTATTTCCTGGTGCAAGCTCCAACGTGATTGAGAAGTGAGACCCCTTGCACTTAGCACTCTCGTCTCCGGATGTGGGTCGTTCAATACCTTGTGGTGAAGGCCGAACCAGGATAGCGTTTCCTCGAAGCAACCACTCGGACCAAACCGAGTCTTCAAAGGCTAGAGGTTACTCGTGCTAGTTGACATTACATGGATGTGAGAGTAGGAGAGGGTTAGTCTGTATTCCAGTCGGGGCGCAGCATGTGGGCTTAAATCTGCTTGCACCTGGTACCGTATCGTATTTCGACGTGAGGGTGGCAGCTGTACTCCTCCACTTCTATCAAGACAACATAGAGAAAGGGAGAGATGTGTTGCAATATTCATCAATTGTACTTGGTACAATGAACCTGAAATGCAGACGCGGCTCACGAACCGTTACTGCTGAAATGTTGTTCTCCTGCTACAATCTACAATGCGTGATACCACAACTACATTCTTTCTTCAGTATGTCAACATTACCTCTAGGCTCAAGGACGCAACAGGTTGGAAATGCTCAAACATCGTCATTCCTCAGTGATGATTTTTTTCTCGTGGGAGATGCGAATAGGACATAGGAAAACTCTTTCTCCCTGCTGGTTTCCGCAATGCAATTCAATTCACGACCAGAGGTGATGCTCGTCTCTACCAGGTAGGGAGAAACTTTGCAATGCCTCATTAACTAAGCAAAGGTCTAGCAGAAATTGCAAATCCTTTTACCATTCTTGCATGTCCAAATTAACTGTCAAGGCAAGAAAAGCATGCTCAGAAGAGGGCGAAGAAACAATTTCATAATTCTCAACGAGGAACGGCCGTATTTTTAAATTTAATACGCAGATTCGAAAGTCTTCATTTCCAAAACAAAAAAGACATGGGTGACTACATGAGCTTTTGCTGCAATTCGTGTCAGGAGAAGATTAATTTCGGGGATAAAAATTGGCGAACAAATGCAATTTATCTAAGACCTGAAAAGAGAAATGCCCTGGAAATGAGCCAGGGACGAGAGCTAAAAACCAGAGATGTTAGGATGGCTTCCTTCCGAGCGAAACGAGGAGGCATCTCTTTTACTGCAGTGCCACTTCGGAACGAAAAAATACCGGAGATGACCAAATTAAATAAATAAGATGTACAGCATTGGCACAAAACCTGTCCCCACTCGGATACAAATCTAAACGATCTAATTACATTTGCCTCGAAGACGAAGACATGGCAAAACCAGCTATCCCACAACCTGAAATGTCGGAAGTACTGCAGCTATAACTCGCTCACGCTCAGGGCGGAGGGAGGAACCTTTCTCTCGTGAAACAAAGACCCTGTCTATCTTACGGGTTTTTTTTTTGCATTTCTTCTACCAACTTGTACTGTCTAGCTTGATATCGGTAAGAAATGTTCTCAATGCCTTCGTGAAAGGACTGTCCCGAGGACATGAAAAGATTACATCTTTCCTCCGTTAAAAGTCAATCGAAAGGAACTGAAGACTGGCCAGCCAGTGGAATTCGCTTCCTTGTAGCTTTAACGACTGAAATATCTTATTTTTCAACCGATACGACACCCGCTCTCATCACTGAAGCGGGCTGCTACCAAGACTGCGAGAGGTAGAGAGACGCTTCCCAATGGCTCATTCACATCTTGCATTATTATTTTATAAATATCCAGCAGTATGTCGAAGGGAATGGGGAATCGTCTTCCCCGAAAGCATGTAACATAAGAATCATCAAAGGTGCCGTTTTATCACCATTTATTTTCACTCTCATCACGACCTTCGATAAACTGCCGGAAACAGCAAAATTCATAGGCAACACCCATATTCTTGCAAAGATGTACATATCATTTATGTTACCTGATATTAGTTTACTTTTTTTATCTTGTTGATGGTCGTATTTATTTACTGCCGATATTACTAATAGACATACCAAAGAACAAAGGATTTTTACCATTGGTTCATTAATCGGGTGAACATACATATGGGATATTGTATATAATCGAGACGACTACGAAAAGTATCGGTGGCTTGTCGTTCGTGGAGACGATTCGATAGCAAATGTATCATAAAGCCAGCAAAATCCAGTGAACTAATATATATTTTTAACAGGACACTAAGAAGTGACCTGGTGCCAGTGTATCTAGCATTACCAAAGAGCGAGTCACCATTGGTGGTTCACTTGAACTAGTAGAATCGACAAAGCACGTTGTGATAACCATTGACCACGGGGCTGACTTCCACACCTCATGCAGACTACGTCCAGACGAAAAGCTCCGAGTAGTAAGAGCACGAAGTACTCTAGGACGATCGTCCGATGCACTGAGGCCTCATCACAACCATGACAGCTGGCCCATTCACATGCCACATGGAAGACCTCCCATGTTTTCTTAAAAATGGTACGATTTGAGATCGATAGAAAAGTTAATCTCAATCTGCATCTAACTGCGACGATTGTGTTTTCCTTTCCCATATCCTAGGTCTGTGACGCCTAAATTTGTGACGGCCCAAATCGAAGGAAATTTGCACTAGTTTTGAGTTTTTCTCGACATGGAGCTAGGAAATCCTTTAGTGGTTGCGGATTTTTTTGTTTCCTTTGTAAACCATCTGCCGTTCTACCCTCCTGAGACATGCTAGACGGAATCAACTTTAAACTCTTTCGATGGATTAAGTAGGACATCATTCTTGTCTCCCACTTCATTCCATCACCAGTGAACGTTAGACTGCTTGCATGAATGGTGTGCGTGCATTAATGCAAAAATGCCACTCCTCGTCCAATCAGTTCTCATTCCCTTCTAGGGCATTGTTTGATTCATCCGATTATCTAATTAACCTGTCATAGGATGATTTGCCATACATGACAGGTCCGATGATTTGATTAGCACTCATACTTTGACACTCGTCTTCTTTCTTCTCTTTTTTCTCCTCTGAAGTGAAAGTTTTGATGCACAAGCTTCCACTTTGCCCTCTCGGCTTAGACTTCATCCAGAGGGGAAAGGAGAAAAATACCATGAATTGCTTTGTCATAAAGAATGGAGTACGACGCCTTTGTAACACCATGTTCATTTGTCTTGTCATAGGTAAAAAAAAAAAAGGAGGGAAAAATGACCACAATGCCACAACAATCTACAAGACAACATGGTCAATGTCAATGCATGTCAATGTCAATGTGGATGGCTTGTGATATATCTTGGTTTTTGGGTATGAGATGAGAAATAAAAAAATGGAATTCAAAGCTTACCAGTATATCTGCATTTATGTAACCTGACAGATAGAATTTTGGGACCGGGACCAAGAATTGTGAAGTTGATGCACTGCGTCAAGATGGCAAATAGGTGCTGATCACAGATACACCATTTCTGAACTCTGACTGACTAAATGAAACAACTGGAGAAAAGAGGGGGAAGTATAACAAAAAGGCAACCATAATGGTAAACGAACAGCAAAATCCCCGATAAACTTTGTACTTGCCCGCCGAAAACCCCATACCAAATTAACCCATTAAAAAATAAAACCAGTCTAGATATAGAGAAAAATCCCCAGTGAAGACTCGAAAGGACGGAGATGCAGATTTTCTGGTGGCTATCATCGCCGTTCACGTATATCGCTGTTTGGATCTGCCAAAATCGTAACCGATTTTGCTAGAGAGCAACCGGGCCCATCACAGTGGACTTGAGGTACTTGGTAATGTCCCCCTGGGAGGAGCAATCAAACAACGAGGAGAAGAAAAAGATGAGCAAAACCAAAAAGCAAATGGGGAAGATTGAGAAGAAGTCCGTAAGAAACGCCCCTCTGAATGGCAGAGAGAATGGCACATGGAATGGTAACTATCGACCGTGGAGCACCTCAGGTCTCTTCAGTCCCACGTCTCTGGTAAAGGACACCCACACTCGGGATGAAAAAAAAAAAAGCCCCCCGAAGGAGAGATGAAGCGGAAGATGACCCCAAGCAGCTAGGAAAACCAGCTCCGGCCAAAGGGCGTCACGCTCACCCCCCGCGAAGACAAAGTGGAATCCGTCCATTCAACGGACTAGAGCCTTCACGTTCGACAAGCACACGGTTTGCAACAGAGGTGAAGACACATTTGTTCTTGAGCAATTTCACCGACAAACATCCGCCCCCATTTTCTCATTTTTGGCCTCCGTTAAAATAAACTGCAGAAGCAGCAGACGATGACGATGGCTTCCGACACGAAAAACGACACGACGATACAGGATCACAGCTGGGAATGCATATTTTTGCATCGGCGCGACGAAATCACCGATGCTTGCCCCAAGTGGCCTTCACCATGTCGGCCACCTTCTCGCCGATCATGATCACGGGGGCATTCGTATTCCCCGAGACGATGATCGGCATGATGGAACAATCCGCCACCCGAAGCCCTTCGATCCCGTACACCCTGTCCACGAGAAAATTACGTCTCATCAGATTTGCCAAGTATGATGTTTGCATGGATCTCGTTTGAAGCAGTCATCAAATATTGCAATACAATCAACATCCTCCTTCAGAAATCAGAGTTTGGGAGGCAACTCGGTCAAATCTCCAGCCTCCTTTCAAATGTACCGTACTGTATGCCTGAACTGAAAATCTTAAGGGATATGCGGAGTGAATGAGGATGGAGGTGGTCGAAGCATGCTTGAATGACCCAGTGAAGCTGGCGGGAGTCTTTCTCCCCTCCCCTCTTCAAAAGAACTTTCTTATTTGAAATTCTGAAAAGCGGCGTCGGCATGCATGGAACCCCATTTCATAAGATTTCGTCGTCCATGCCGATCCTTAACATTTTAGAAAACCATTCCCGTAAGGCCCCCATCCTCTCCGTTTACCGGACACTCCTCCACGAACCACCTCCGTCCCGAACGCGAAGAGAACGTTCCCGTTCGCAACGAAAAGAAAGTCCATAGAGACCTGAGTTCCGGATCGACGACGGCTTCCTTATCCCAGTGAGGTCCCATCTTGGCCGTGCCTGCCGGATGGTAGATGGTCTCCGTGTAGCCCCTCACTATGCATTCCCAGTATGCATCCGTGTATAGCTGGATGTGTTCGCAGCCCGGGAAGGGCTTCCGATACAGTTTCGACCCGTAACGCTTGAACGCCTTCGTCTCCGACATCACCACCACCAACTTCATGCCTATCGACGACAAAAAAATAATTTTAGGAGCCTTTCCTTCCACTTTAGAGAGATCTCGTGGAATGGCCGACGGACCTTCGACGAGTCGGGCCACATCATCCGGGTTCGTCAGATAGTTCGGATAGATGAGAGGGTAGTCGTGCGGGTTTCTGCTCCTCAGTTTGATCACCCCGTGGCTCTTCGGTCTCAAGAGAGTGGGGAAGGCCGTCCAATTATCTTTGAAAGCGATGGGCTTGTAGTATTCGTGCCAGACCTGGAAGGCATAAGCAAAGGGGTAACTTCAAGCACATGACGTCACCCACGGCACTGTCACTTTCACACAGCGGTCGGGTTGAGTGAAGAAGATAACGACGGAACGGTAGGAGGATTCCGTAAGGCGGGGCAATTCATTTCAAGGGAATGTGGCTTCTTTTTTTTTTTCTTCGATACGGTTGCGATCAGCGGACCGTGCCAGGACGTTATATCAGACAGACATCTCTTCCCACTTCCCCCGTTCTCGAGCAAGGTGTGTGTGTGTGCTTTTTTTTAGTACCGACTGGAACTCATTGAAGCCTGACAAGCCCTACGTATTCCAGTTGCAATCCCCATCCCCTTTAACAGCGACAGATGCTTCCCACCGTGCAGGCACCAATTCCCCATCCCCGTCACCTGTTCCCATCTTAATTGCACAATTTTGACAGATATCATCTGACGGAGAAGTCTCATGAATGCAGGAACGCCTCCTTCCATTCTTCTCTCGTCCCGGATTATCTCACTACACCGGATCCTCACGCATGCATAATTTTTTTGTTGTTGCCATTCGAAACGACAAGATGACGTTCACAAACCCGATTGTTGAGCCCGTGAATGCGCCTGATCTGCCTTCCGCCGTCTGACGCAGCTGTCCCCGACGTGAAGTGGAACTCGACGTCCGGAAAATCGTCGGACTTGTTCGCGTATTTCGTGTTGATGAAGGCCAGCCCCTCGATTCCGCCCAACACCGTCAGGGGACCTGATAATAAAAAAAAAGGTGAGGGGAAAATAAACGATGGGAAGGGTCAAAATAATGCGGAAGGACGCCAAGATGAATGAGGCGAAGAAAGGCAATCAATTTTAAGAAGGAAGATTCACTCAAGATTGCATCCAAAGCTGCGTCCTCATTCTCGTTTCGATGGAACCCGAGAAGACAATCGGCTCAAGCAGAAAGAAAGGGTTACATGCATACGAAATACGTCTGAGTGGAATGGACGGTAGAGATAGGATCTGACCAAGTGACCTTTCACCCGGCTGGAAGCTGCGCCCAATAAATTGATTTAAATAGTAAAAAAAAGTTAAAGAAGCTACAAAAGACTAAAATATACACACTGGTCATGCGAAGCGAAAAGAATACACAACACGATGCCGGTCAATCTCGGAGCCATAGAAAGGAATTCGCGACAGAGCAAGGAGGAAATGGAGCGGAAATGGACTGGAAACGCAAGCATGCTTAAAACTGACCTTTGCCAAACATGGCGTACTTGAGAATGGACGGAATGTTCTCGAATCGGGACTGAATGAGCGCCACCGGCTCCTTGATGAGGAACGTGAGCCCCCCGATTCCGATGTGATCTTGCAGATTGTACCCGACCTTCAGGTCCGAGTGGACGTGGATCTGCAAACGAAGGAGATTGCGTGGGATGACGTGGGGGGGAAAGAAACAGGAACGCCTCTCGACAGGAATCATCCGAGTGGAAAATGCAGAGAAAGAGAATCCCGAGTCGCGGGGCGAAAGCCAGAAATTTCTCAGAACACATTTATTTAGCCGCAAAAACAAGGAAATTTCCCTAACGGCCGAGGAAAAGGCGGATTTCACTTTTCCCTCCCCCAGGAATCACGGTTCCCTTCACATCTAGGCTCTTTCCACCGCTTTTTTGTTGTTTCCTCTCTCTTTCGAAGCGTGGGAAATTCGATCGTGATGAGATGAGAAAAAGAAAAGACAGTCCCTTTCACGATCTCATTACGGCAGAATCGATTCTCACCGATGGAAATGCAGTCACCTTGACCGTGCCCACGGACTTTCTCTCGACACTCGTCGAGCCACCTTCCATTCTGCTTATTCCAGTCTCATTCCGTGATGCAACTTTTTTTTTTAATATCCATTATACACGCACGAATTTCGATGTATGGAAATAAATGAAAAAATAAATTCCCCTATCAGCATCCAACTTTTATCGAAACACCGTTCCCGCGAGATCGGCTCCGTTGTTCGAGTGATAATTGAAGGGCTGAAAGGAAAACTGGTTTAACTGCGATAAATGTCCGAGGAAGTGGTAATTTGTCTGATTCACGTCACACCTTTTCCTTTCGGCCCTTCAATTACACCCTTCCATGCTCAAAACATAAATTTTAAGTTCTCGACTTTGTCGGGCCTGCAGCATGGAAACGCAAAATTCACCAAGCTTCCCGAGTCGCATTTTACTTTCACGGATCCAAGAAGTTATGTGCCACCCGTTAGTGTCGAAATAATAATTGCATTGATTATGTGAAAATGTCGTAAATGAGTCACGGTTTAACATCTCAAACCCCGACCGAGAATACGGTAATCGTCACCTGTCGACGAGGCCAGATGGCACGGGAAGCCACAGAATTTTCACATGCAGGAAAGTGTGCTTTTCACACGGACACGCCGAGGGTTCCACGTTAATGATGATTAATGATTTGTGAGAACAGGCGTTTCGTCTAGGACTCGTTACTTGGCATTTTTAATTGCAGGTTTCTTGGCTTCATTTGCCACAAAGCGATCGTAAGACATTTCTAGTAAATTCTGGCATTAGTATCGGTATGCCAAAGAAAGTCATTTGCTCGAGGGCCGTATTAATACGGCAAGCCGAAAGGAACTCGGTTCGTTGCCTGGACTCGCGGCGCGTGCTTGGATTACGCGTTGCCGAATTGCAGGACGAACGACATCATCATTCTGCGACGTACAAGAGGAAATGACACTCGTGACAGACATATCCGTCCCTTGCCTGCATGTAGAATGCCATTCAATGCGATTCCATCACGACGTGCGAAAAAAGGTACACGGATAATTCTCCCGATACGCGACCTGCATCAGTCTGCAATGTGGCACGTTCGCAAACGGTAGAAGTAGTTTACCCGGACACTCACCCCGTGTTCCTCGAGGTGCGCCCTGGGCCCCACCCCGGACACCATGAGTATATGCGGGCTTCCCACGGCGCCCGCACACAAGATGATCTCCTTCCGGGCCTTCACCTTCCTGATGTTCCCGTCCTTCTCGAACTTCACGGCCCAGGCCCGCTTGTGGTTGTCGATCAGGACCTGCGACACGGGGAGGGTCGTACACGCCATCCGTCAGGACGGGGGAAGGGGGGGGCGGGAATCTTTCGGGACGAAATTTGCATGAGAAAAGGCGCTTTCTCGGCAGCAGGGCACCCGTAGGTGCTTCCGCTGTCGTAATTTTTTCAAAAGTCATGCCAGGTCGATGGGTTCCCTCTAATTAAACTTGATATACAGTACTTTCGCGGTGGTGAAAGTCTCCGTGCGGATCTATAGGGCCACTTACCTTCCGTAACCCATTATTCGTACCCTCATTCGAGGCGCATAAACATTAGGTTTCGAGGGGACGAACGAACCGAGAACGGATACGAGATCACGTTTGCGTGGAAGAAAAGAGCGAGCATCGCTCGGTACCTTGTGGACGAAGGACCTCATGGAGACGTCCAAGTTGGGTCGAAGGCGGACGGGTCGAAGGAAGGCCTTGGCCGTGCTGCATCGAGCTCCTCGTCGGATCGTCCCTTGGGGGATCATGAAACCTGGGTCGGGGACGAGAGCAAAATTTCAATTCGAAGTCGCATGCCGTCGAGGCCTCTTTAGTCGATGATCTTGCACTTTCCTTTTCCGATGTGGCTTTTATATCGCGAGAGATTAAAATAATTCTTTTCGACGAGTGTTTTTAATCGCTTGTTCCCGTGGAGAATGCAAGACAGATGCATCCCTATACCAACACGACCGAGACATGCCCTAGTACGAGCCAGACATGCCCAAGTACGCATATGCAAGCTTCAGATGCATGTGGAGCGAGCGTACTGACCAAACAGAAGACACCCAGCCGCATGAGGGGTTGGGGGGGGGGGGGGGGGGGGGGAGCATGACTCTGCATTCCATAATGAACGTCGAAAGGAGAGGAGCCCACTCTTCGGAGTCAGCGGGCAGTGGTCTAAGACTCGACTTCCTCGCTAATGATGGCTTCATGGCCGATCCACACGCGATTCGATCGTCACGGTTAAAACTCATTTAGGAGAAATTGGGCCCCGAGTTCCGAGATACCCCTCTTCATCTGGACCGTATATCAAGTGGAAACTGCGGAAAGAAAGGCGTCCGTGGGCGAGAAGTTCCCACAGTGAAAGTGTACCCAAGTCATCGCAAGGAATGAAACAAAAAAAAAGGGAGGTGGGGGGGGGGGGGGGGGGCCCCCGGGGGAGAAAAAAAAGGGTTAGGGGGGGGGGGGGGGGGGGGGGGGGGGGGGGGGGGCCCTCTGGGGTGAGAAACGATGGCTTAAAAAAAATCCCGTGTCAGGCCCTATCATAAATTATGTCCGGAATGCCCAGCTATTGAGAAGAGTATACTGTGATATACATGATAATCTAAAACCGATGAAAAGACTTTCCCCTCCACTCTTCCGATTCGTAATGGAACGATCGCGAATCGACGAAACGCGATAAAGACAGCTCCACTTTTCGACACGAGAGTCGTTGCTCATCCGAGCTTGAAGACCCGGAGAGGACGTCATCGAAACATCAAGATGAATCAACTTTCTCTCGGATAAACCGCCGATATGCCCTTGTTTTCGCGTCAACGTTTCGTTCGCACCGCGAGAGCAAGTCTCTACGGCCAGACGCCCAAGTGGAATGTGGAAAAAAACCTTTCCTTCAGTCAAGGTTTTTCCCTTCGCCTTGGCCTTTCGTATATTTCCACTTGCTCAACCGGCCGTGACTTTCGAAGGGGGCAATTCGAAGACAGAACCCAGTGCCCTTTAAACCGCGATCGATCGACTTCTTTGCGTTCTTCCGACGTTCGACGATCCGCGATCGGCGAAAAGCGATCGATTTCCGCCTGGGAGGTCCGAAAGCGAGTCGATGGAGACGTCCAAGTATTAACCGATCTCTGGCTGGAGGCTAGAATTACGGCTTGAACGATGAAGTATGGACATGCAACATTGACAAATGCCCGGCCAGGGGGGTGTACTGATTGGAAAATGAACGAGAGGAGGATTGCGTCCATGATCGATGACGGCCTTTGCGCTTAACAAACAACCCGATGGGGGGTCTCGGGCGTCTCTTTCTGGATTTTTTTTTCCGCGACCCGAGGACACGGGCCTTTGCTGATCACTTTAAAAAAAAAATTTTTTTTAGGTCAGCTGTAACGGAAGGGTGCCGAGTTCGTCAAACATCCTCGCGGAGACACAAATTTGCTTTTTGAGTTCAAACATCCTGAAAAGGGTCCTTATTTCGGAAGGGGAACAAAGGAAGCGAGATGGACTTCTTCTACGATGGAAGAAGAAGTCCATCTCGCTCTTTTTCCTCCTTGGAACCATCATCGATTCCAAGGAGGAAAAAGCTTCGAGGAATGTACTTTCTGTTATACGTCAGTCAATCAATCTTGAGACGAACGAAGCAGAAGCCACTCAACGAAGCCTGTATAAAGAGAATAATCTGAAATGACACTATGGTGGAGGGGGATGAATGTGTGCGCGCGTGCGTGTGTGCGTGTGTGTGTGTGTTGGGGGGGGGGGAAGGAATGTAGCGATGAAATCGCCGGCGAGAAAATTTTATTCCCTCTTGTCCCCATTCCAAAACGTCCTACTTCCTTCGCGTTCCATTGTCTTCCGCAAAGCTATCTCGATGCAATACTACATCGGACCTAAATACAAATTTATCACCGAAATACGATCGTCGTGGACGAAAGACCGCAGAACACCCTCGCATCCGACACTGACCAAGCAAAAGATCCTCTCGAGACGCGCTCGAATATCTGTGACCTCCTTCCCCCTCGTTACCATCCCCGGCCGCTGCCCAGATCCCATCATCGATGGACGTCGTAATCGCGGTCCGACCGAATTTATTTCCATTATTTGCATAGGGGCGCATGGAACCGTTCATCGAAAGGAGAGAAAGTGTTCCAGATACGATAGACGAGATCGTAAGTCACTCGCACCCGGAAGAGTACTGCACGCCCGGTATTTTTCACTTATTTATGTTGGCCCTTGGGGGATCCGAGAAAGGGAGAAACCGGAAAAAAAAAGTTTTTTTTTTTTTTTTTTTTTTTTTTTTTTTTTTTTTTTTTTTTTTTTTTTTTTTTTTTTTTTTTTTTTTTTTTTTTTTTTTNAAAAAATTTTTTTTTTTTTTTTTTTTTTTTTTTTTTTTTAGCGAGGCCCTTCCTCTTTTTTTTTTGCATGCGTGCCCCGAGGAAGAAAGTATCTCGCATCTTTTGTGGTTCCGTCTGATGGATTTCTTCGTTTTTCGACAATCACACGGTTCTTTTCTTCCGTTTCATTCCCTTCACTCATCTCTCTCTCTCTGACGGGAGAGAAGGAAAGTGCGAGGCGTCGTAATCGCACGAGATAATCCTCGGGAATGACCGCCCTCTGGCTGTGTCCAAATGAGAAATGACAGCAACAAAAAAAAAGGCTCGAGGGGACAGCCGGTGAGCCTGTCCTTCCGTGTGCGCGGATGTATTTGCTCTTTGCAAAATTCTCACGGTCTCTCATTCAACTTTGTAGCCGAGTCCTGTTTGTTCCTTGCGTAAAAGTCTGGCAAATATGAGCTCATTTCCTACCAGAAACCCTTTTCTCACCGTCATCCGGCTTCGTTTATCCAACTAGAACATACTTCTAACGCTCCACTCGCAGACTTCGACACCGACCTACGACAATCTCCGAAACCTGTAAGCCTTCGGACCCGACACCAAGGCCGACACGTCACATCTCCCGATCGCCGAGGCAGCGATTAGACAGCGATTCGACAGCCAAACCCGTTAAAGAGATGATCTCACCCCGGCGGAAATCCCCGCCCCACCCGGAACGAACCGGTTCCGGCAGCGAAACCGGATCGAGCGATCCCCCGAAGAGATCCCCATCGCGTCATCGAGAATCTCTGAACGGAACGAGAAGTCTTCGGGGGTAAGCGATGAGAAAAAACTTTCACCCGGAGATCGCTTTCTTCTCACGCATACCGCCAGTTCCTTTCTAAAAACAATTACACACAACAAAAAAAATGTCCGGTATCCAAGGGCTGGAGAAAAGGTTGTTCCCTCCCGCCTTACCGCATGGGAAGTGGCACAGACAAGGCCGATTCCTCTCGGCGGTATCGACGAATCCTAATCCTATTCCTTCCGCCACTCTCCTTTTCTACGAACGCGAAAATCGTGCATGCGGTACGAGATGCTCCGGTAATCGCAGAGGTAAATCACCGAGGCTTTCGGAGCTTCATCCGGGCATCGGGGTAATTCGGAGCGAAAGAACAGATAATTAAGCACCACAGTCGATTCGGTCCTACCACTTTTCGAGGGAAATACCATACCATAAGCTTTCACTGCCTCGAGCCACCCCACCTGTAGCCCCAAGAACGCGATCCAATCGCTCAAAAGCAAATTACAAATTTCACGGAGAGGCAAATGAGCCATCCTTCATGCATCGGCCGTAATTAAAGTGCTACACAAAGGATATCGCACGTAAACGGGTCTGACGGTTTCATTAATAAAAAGAGACCGAACGAACGCGGGAAAGTGTGCCTCGTGGCAAGAAAAGAAAAAAAAAAGCAAAACCAAACCAAACAAACGTAACAATCGCCTCACCTGTCTGCTGGTGTGCGTTGAAGTCCAAGTTCTCGTATCCCATCTCGATGCCGGCCTCCACGAAGGCCACGGACAACGGGGACCTCCAAGGAGGCTCCATCACCGTCAAGTATCCTCCGACTCCGTGATACTTTTCTGAGGGTTTCAAAAGATCGTCACGCTCATTTATCCGGCAATATTTACGAGGGGCTATTAAAAAAAAAAACGCTCGTAACTCCACTCTCGAGCCGTTTCGAATGGAAGAAAAATCTCTACCTTCGAACGCGTGCACATTTTTTCCGCGTCGGCGGGCGAGAGAAAACATCCCAGAGCCACGGGCAATCGATTACAATTAAAGCGATGAAAAATCGACGGAGAAAAGCCACCTCCCCGCAGAAATCAATTTACGAACGTAAACTTTCTCGAGCCCAGAAGCGAGAGGAATGCATAATAGTAGCTCTTCGGAGCCATTACGACTCCTCCGTCGAGGACGACCCACTTTTACCCACTTTCTTGCGAGAATTCAATTCCTCGCGGGCAATGCGGTCATTCTCGCATTCCCCGATGGCATTTTCGTGCCTCCACGTATCGCACGGAAACGGACAATATGGCCATACGAGGGATCCTTTGGGGGCCGCGCGTGGGACGCGACCGCGTAGGGGCGTGCCTGCTAACTCGGGCCTACGACTACCAAAGAAATCCCTTTCATTCGACCACCCTCGGTCCCTTCCCTTTCCTGCTTTCTTTTTTTTTTGTCATCGGATGCGTTTTCACCCCTGCGGGGAAGAAGGACACGAGATGCATGCGGAATGGGACGATCGGTCGATAAACACGAAGCGCCTCGCCGGGACTCACTCACCCGAACGACGTCGGGGGGAGGTCGTGACCTCACAAGGAGGAAACGAGTTCGGTCTCGATGCCTCTATTCTTATCGTCGACGTCTGGCGTGATCGATTACAGAGTGCGCCGGTCATTAGGGGCATAATGGTCCGCATAAAACCGACCTCGTAATCCATTATCCCGCCCCCGAACGGAGCACGAGTCCGGCCAAAAAATGAGTCCTTCCGACGATTTTCCGTTCGAAATTCCTCCCCGACTTCCGACATTCCTCACCCTTACTCCCGCATTCCTCCCGCATCTCGCTCGACGACGGGGTCGGGCCGCGGGGAGACACCCGAGTACGCTGCCGCTCCGTCAATCACTTTCGGCGGGCTAATCAGCATTCAACGCACGCAATTAGTATTTTTTTTTCCCCTCCCAATCATTAGTCATGAATAAGTTATTCCGGTGATCGGGGCAACCCTCTCGAGCCAAATAGGGAAGCACCAGTTCCCCTTTCTCCCGCCCTCATTTTCCTCCGGCACGAAATGAAAAGTAACCGTATTAGGAGAATCCCACTGTGCACGGCTTTTGCGAATCGTCTCTCCAACTGTCACAATCTATTCATGCGAACGATCCATACGGGCGATAATGCCGATGTCCCACCCAAGGAAGGAGAACATATTTCTCTCTCTCTCTCTTTCTCTCTTTCTTCTTCCTAGCAACGTGTGTTGAAGACGACGCCTTTCTCCGGCTGTATCTCGCGGGGAGATCGGGTACGCATTCCGAGTGGAAAGCGGAAAAGCGCGTTTTTCCCTCATTTTTCTTAATGAGCTTACTCAGTCACGGAAGTAGAAGAATAGACTCCTCGCCCATATTCATGACCGCATCCACGACTAGTGACAGCACACACTTAATCTTCCCACCCGGTATGTTTAAAAGACGAAGCCCCTCGCCCCGTTCTCGTCGGAGCGACCCATCGACGCCTAACAGCCACGGTAATGGTATTTGTTAACTGGTAATTGTTTGGCAAAATGCAAAAATGGAGAATTTCAGCAAGCGAAAGTCCCCCGATCGCGATCCACCGAAACGCGTGCACGCGAAATGAAACCCGTCGCAATCATCTGAAGCGAATCCCAAGAGGCCGCCTCCCGCGTTTAACCTCGCGTCTCGTCTCGTGCCCCACCGGACGGTCGAATCGTTCCACTTTCATCCGTAATGCGTCACGCGAAACACGAGTCTCATCCGTGGAGCGGATTTCCTCCTTCCTCACCTCTCCCACGCCCTCGGAACGGACCCGACGGCCCCCGGAACGGACTCGAAGGCCCTCGAAGGCCCTCGAAGGCCCCTGCTACGGCATGCGTCTAAAAAATGTTTTCTCTCCGAAACGGCAACGCGAAGAGTAACACGCGTTCGTGGTCGTGACGTATCGATGCCGTAACGGAACCGATCGTCCATTAATCACGCGACGAACGATTCAGACTCGCGAAAGTTAAAAGTAACGTAACCGAATCGTTAGATCGAAAGGAACGCGTCACACGATCGCAATCATTCATCCCGGGAAAAATTTCCCACAAACACGTTTAAAACGAGAACTGGATGTCATGCCACGAGAACATGCAACAGTCATTAAGGAAACGATTCAATTAACTCCACCGTAACAACACTCGAGGCGCTAAAACACGCAACGATAACGCAACCGTCCGACGCTTAAACACGGCCCTGCCTTTCGGGCACGATCTGGCAAAAGCCCAGCACGACGAAAGGCATCTCAATCTCGAAATTAAAATAAATAAAAAAAACGAGACCGCGAGTGCAGGCATCGGATTCGCGTATCCGCGATCGAACCCTTTGGGATCCCGCTCGCCATCTATTATTCATTCGTCCGTCTCGCAAGCACTCATCGATTAATGCCCGTGGCACGACCGAGAGAAATAAATCACGTTCCGAAGCACGCAAAGGCATGCAATGGGCAAACACGAGGAACGCGACGATCCCTTCCTGCAGAAGCAGAGGAAATCTTTCCACGTCCGAACGCAAATACGGTTTCTCGGTCCATTTTTTCTTTTTTGCTTCGATATCGTGATGCCTTCGGCGACGCCTCACGGAACCTCACGGAATCCCCAGCGGCGAACACGGACGAGACGAAAGGTCGACCTTTCCGATCGCAGGGCTCGTTAGCTACCGTTCCGGCGGAATCTCGGCGGGGAAAAGCGGTCACGACTTCGAAGTCTCGCGTGCGACGAAATCCGCACCGATAAACGATACGCTCCGTCGATCCCTCGACGCAAAACGCGATGCGACTCACTGTTTCGGGCGATGTAGGGATTCTGATTGTCCTCGGACTTCTTGAAGTAGTAGAGGACGTCTTTGAAGCCCCAGCCGTAGTTGCCCAGATGTTCCCAGATGTCGTAGTCCTTCTTGTTCCCTCGCACGTAGAGCATGTAATTGAGAACCGAGGATCCGCCGAGCACCTTCCCACGCGGCCAGTTGCACCGCTGAGAGACAAAAAAGACCAATTAACGAATCGTCCGAGAGTACTCAAAAGAACGGGTCGCAAGTGTTACGACAGATCGACGCAATCCGATCGTTTCGAGATAAATCTGACGTCATCCCGAGCGGAAATGAAGTCGAGCCGGACGATCGACCCGACGCCTACGATCGAATCGGCTCGGAAATTAATCCTAAACCAGTCATCGAGTCTGATCGAGTCATCGATGACTCGAGTCTCACCTTGCAGATGAAACCAGTTCTCGCCGACAGATATTGCCCCCCACGGCACCGGGGGGGGGGGGGGGAGAAGCCGGTCATCGCGATTACCGACAGATATTCCCCCCCCCGGCACCGGGGGGGGGGGGGAGAGAAGCCGGTCATCGCGATTTCCACTTTAACGAACCCCGAGAAAATGAATTTCTTCCGTTTATGGTCGAGCTTATATTAGGCAAATATAACCTCGAAGAATAAAAGAACACGCGTGACTTCGAGGTTCGACGACGGGGGGTTCCGGGAGTCTTTGCCAGGATCCGGACCGAACAAAACTTCACTTCCAGCAGTAATTTAATTTCGTATGCCACTCTCGTTCGAAGGGACACACTTCGTATTTTACCTTTGCCCCGAACTCATTCTCTTCCCATCGCTCATCCTATTAACCTCGGGGATCACAACTTATCTATTAAAAGTAAACGAGAGGCGGGACGGACCGAGGCACGAGCCGGTGCCGAGGTGAGATAATCTCGGATGGCATTTTATTTAGATAAAAGGATTATTTTACGGACGGACCGTCATTGTATTTGGGGCACGGTCACGACTGCCCGTTAAATCGAGAAACAATGGCCGGAAAACAAGAAAGGAACAGAAATTCCACTCCCATTCCATTCCACTTCGACCGTGCACGGCCCCACCCGATGGCTTTTCTCACCGGCGCGGGAACGACCGGCGAGAACCGGACGCTCGCGAGAACGAGGCAGGACGTCGGAGGAAAAAGACCGTTCGAAGATGCTTACATGAATATGTAAGCAGGACTCTTTCTCTCGGCGATCCATAGAAGGCGATGACATCGCCGATGAGGTTTCCATGCCCCCTCCTGCCACGCTCGTAACCGCGATTCACTTCGTGTCAGATCTGTCAGAGCCGCGAACCGAAAATGGATCTCGAGAAAGGACTACTCCCGCAGTGAATGGCGGATGGAAGAGCGCACGGAAGCCGCATAACTTAGCCGGTCGCTGCTTTCGAAGACCTCGAGGGCACCTCGAGGCGGAGCCAACGACTCGAGAGATCGCCACGGTGTCGTAACAGGACCCATTAAGTACCGCGCGAGTGAACGACGAAGAAGCATTTCTCTCCGCGTGACGTCAGGGGAGTCCGGCAGCTCTCCTGGCACCCCGTCAACTCTCGGTGTACCGGATCTCATCCTTCAAATATTGACCTCGTTTCTCGAGACGGGGCGGCCAACGTTGCATTCTGAATATGGCCCATTCCCGAGAACCTTTCTTCTCTCCCACCGACAGACTTTCTAAATAGCTCCACGCAGCGGTATACGATACGAACACAACGGAGGTGGCTTTCGCTTCTTCCTTTGTGAACGATGATGATGCTGACACGTGGGAAATTATTCATTCTCCCGGTGAATGGCTCTACCCTTTGAAGGAGACGGCAGAACGAACGCCTATCTGTCGTGCTGTCGCTTTCTGACGTAACCTTTAGGGCTCTCGTTCGCGAGTCCGTTTAACCCGCTTAAGCATCTCCGATCGGGCCGACTTGATCCGAACGGGAAGGATTCCAAGGGAACATAACATGTCATCCGTCCTCATCGATATGGGCCCTCGTTTTCGTCTGTCTCGGTCGACTTCGTCTCGCGTAAGCAGGCCGGATCTCCCGGGCATGAACGTTCGGACCCCTCGTGGGCAGAGGAACAATGAAGACATGGAACGTGAGCGAGATCGCACAGTAGTATGTCCCATGAGGGAAATGAATCATGAAAGGCTCGAAAAAAGAATGGGACAAAGGAGACGGCCGAAGAACACGATGACAATCGAACGGAACGCACGAACTCGAACCAGAACCGCCGAACGGGCGATTCCGTACTCGTCGAGCCTCTCGAGACCGAGCCGAGAGGGCCCGGAAGAAAAGTCCGCGAACAGGTGGAGACGAAGTCTGCGAACAGGTGGAATCCGGGGCCTCGGGCCGCTGCAGGTTCAAGCAAATGACGTCACGCGACAGGAAGGAGGACGTAATTGTACGCGATCAGCAGGGGGAATTTAATTAACCTCCGCGGAAATTGCTCGTCTTCGACTTTCACCTGCTCGCCTCAATTTGGGGGCTCGTGTCTGACACGTCGAGTTCGATCCATCCCCCTGTCGGGGGGGGGGGGGAAATCGACTCGGAGTGTAATTGGGGGCATCCGCTTCAATCAAGCGTTTCTGTATTTGTTGCTGCCTCGAATACCGGAGTCGGTCGGGACCACTCATGAATAAAGATTGGCAGATTATGCTTTCTTCGTCAGAAAATTATGCTCCAGGAACCGAATCACTGTTTTTATGTTCTATTACCTCGAGCAATGAATACAAGTGTCCACAATAAGAACAGAGTCTGAAATGGACTCGTACCCGCGGGCTCATCCACCTCAAAGTAAATAATTAAAACGACGACCGTTTCTAGTCTCCCACTCGACAACCTCTTATTCCTTCGGGAACGTCTTTCGAAAAGTATGCTCTTGTGCCAAAATGTAAATAATTGCCTATCTTACCAGGAATCCAATCCGCGATCGGATCGAGATCTGCCAGTACTACTACTTGTGCCATGAAAATACATGAAGCTTCTGTGTACCGAATGGCATCAGATGAAAGGAGATGTCAACCGCGATGTCTCTGCCATCACGGAGACCCATTCCCTTCTCGATTTCGGCTCGCGTCCCAGCGACTCGAACTCGGGTCTCCCTTTCCCTCTTTCGCGATAAGTTGCGACATCGGTCCCGTTGCGACGCCGAGACGGACGCGAGACCCACTTTGCACCAATTAATAACGCAAAATCCAGGTTAGACGCTCTCCATCGACGCGACCCCCGTCGCTTCGCCTCCCCGCCCTCCTCACTCCCCGTTCCCCCGCGTCCAACCCGCTCGGCGGCCTCAAGGCGAATCCGGGCGGAGCGAGACTGACGTTTGGGCGCTTAGAAGTCATCAAAATCAAATTACAGAGCTCGGTTAATAGGGGGCTCGGGGCAACATGTGGTATCACTTTCGATGGAGTGTGCCAAGGATCGGCACAGACACGGATCGGCGTCTACAAGAACCCCTAATCGTATCTAGGCCGTTCCTCTTCCGGCGTTTCGATTTGGTACCATTGATATGCATTATGCAAATAACATGCACAGGGACGGAGAGGCATGATAATACAAAGCAGAAGAGAAGACGATACCCTTTGCTCGTCTCGATCGGAGAACTCGAGGCTGCTAACGGAGTGAAACGGCACCGAAACTGAAAACAGCTGCAGAAAGCGACCATTCTTGCATTTTCGGCAAAAAGTAAACCGCGTCGACGGCGCTCATTTCCCGCCTCTCACTCTCTTCCACGCCCACAGACGGGCTGCATCACGCCACGTCAAGGTACAGACCGATGAAATGGAGGTTCCCCCTTACGACTCGGTCGACTGGGTTGCCGGTGCAGGTCGAGGCACCTTCGTTTCGTGGCCAGGCACCTTCGTCTCCATTTTTCCGTCTATTTGGAGATCATATAAGTAGATTCGGATTTTAAGTTAGCTGTTCGTCCTTAAGGGTATTTTCTTTTGCCATCGTACATCCGTTACCACGGCCTCGGGGCATGCATGTCAGAGGGAGACTTTCCACAAGTCAGACCTATCTCCCCAATCATCTGGCCTACTTGACAAACCCAGCCACTGCATCGCAGATTGTTTACCGCCGAGTCCCACGGTGACGACGGATGCGCCGAGAGAGAGAGAGAGAGAGGGAGAGAGAGAGAAACGAGCCGTGACTCCCGACGCGACTCCCCCTAGCAGGTCCCAGGTGCGAGAGCAATTTTTCCACACGTTGAAAAAGGCGGATGCGAAGACGCGGCAAGATGGCGAAGATGGCGACCACCTGGCTCGGCTCGACTTCCGTCAGGGACCTGCTGCGGGGAATACCCCCGAGATTTATCGAAGGAATGCAGCTCCGCAGGCCCGGACGTGTAAAACGAGGGCCAGGAAAGTCACAGTCGGAGCCCACGTACTTTCACGCCCGCCGATGCACGAAAATTCCCCACCTTCGGCCGTTCCCCGTCCAACACTTCCCCGATACGTGCAAGAACACTCCGATCTTTTAGCAAACAAGCCGGCCCACGCTCACGTCTCATCGAAGCCGTCCTTCCTCGTATCTGCCAAGAAACCTTTGCCACCCACTTCGTTTTCGCGGTTTACATAGACTACGCACACAAAAATCGACCGTCGACGCGCGAAAGCCCATCTCGTTCCACAAATCCGTTTGCCGTGATGGCGTCAATACCACTAGAAGACGAAGAAACACGAGGACCCTTTCAGTCCTCAATTATGTACTAGGCATGGAAAAATGTCATACTTATTGGGCTTCGACAAGGCTTATGTAACATGAAAGTGATTTTAAAACTGTTTCCTCTAGTAAAATTACATATTTATTTTAATTTTTTTAAAAAGTAGATAAATTAATAAAATCATGTTATTTGATTAGTTCAGCTAGTACTCACATCCCTATTTTAGGTCGTATATTTCCCAGTAATTCTGAACTACTTTCCATAATCTAGCTTGCAAAAGCAAAAAAGCTGGTTGGGACAGAAATGTCTTAGCTGAAATAAATATTAATGACACCATTTTTTAAGTGCCAGAGTAAATACAGCAGCTTTATATTACCGAGGACTGCTGTCAACTAGCCAACGCGTGGCGAACAATAAATAAATAAATAATGATAATAAATAATAATAATAAATAAATAAATAAATAATAATAATAAATAAATAAATAAATAAATAAATAAATAAATAAATAAATAATGAATAAATAAATAATGAATAAAGAGGGACTCAGAATCCCGCCATGGGATTCAAGTTCGTGGATTCCTGTGTAGCCCTATAACATGTGCGAAGAAAATGCGGGACTCTCGAGGACTGAAAGGGTTGACGTTTTCGCGCCGTCACTTCCCGTGAAAAAAAAAATGAACACAAAGGCTTAACTTATCAGTCGATCCTGGATCGCTCGCGACGAAGCGAGGCCTGTAAGACGTAATTAGGATGTGTCTATCGAGGATTCTGCATCTCGCTTTCGAGGGATCCAGGCCGGAATCGGGCACACTCGACTCGGATGTAAACCGAGTTTCGTCTGCACGTTTATTTTTAATTGCTCTGGCCTTTTTTTTCAGGATATAAAAATTCACATTCTCACTCAATATGCATAAATGCAAATCAGCCCCAAACATAAAAAATTTTTCATGACAATAACATGTAATTAGGCAAACTAATCGTTCTCCGTGGCTACCTATGGACGCATGATGTCGCGGAAAAAAACCTCTAATGAATTTATGGGTATAATATTCGTGGAGTAATTTTTTTCGGCCACATGCCCTGGGCCCGAGGTGAGCGAAAGGGCAAAAGCGAACGTGTTTCTTTACCAGATGAAGCTCGTGAGGATGCATTGAGGCGCAACGTAAATGCTTTTGGATGAAAGAGCTTTTTGTTCGCTTTTTTTTTGTAACGCAGTGAAAGCACTTCATGCACATGAAATGCAGTAGCAGCCCCATTGACTCTCTCTCCATATGAATTGTAAACCCAGAGTAAGGAACTTAATACCTCATAAGACCGACAGTCATTCCGTTATATAGGTCACTGAAGAAGACAGACACGACCAAGAACCCAGACGGAATCTGGAAACGTGAAAGCTCTAAAACCCTTCCCAACAAAGACGAGGAATTCATTCATCGGGTGTTGAGGGCCGACCGTGCCCGACAATAATTTTATTTAACGACATGATATCGTTAAATATAACCAACCAAGAACCAAGAAATTGATTTTGAACCCGACAAGTCAACCCCTAGTCTAATTTCGTCCAAACCGAAGAAGCATTTCCTTACTCGGCTGCTGGACGTTCCCGTCTCGACGGATTTTGCCAAGCAGGCAATGTGGTTCTTCCCCCGTCACATGGCCGGCCAATTACGGATCATCATCTCGGCCGCAGATGGTCGTTCTGCACGGTAGCGTAACTTCTAACCCGAACGTCCGTTTTAACTCGGAGCGGCTTCGTGGCCAAGATCTGCCTCGAAACGAGCCCATCGTGAATATCGAAGGACCGAATAACGTTAGTCTCTCCTTAGACCGAGCGATCGCGGAATGGACGGCGCAGGAACTCGAGGGAAATTTCGCTGCCAGGGACCAGAAAACGAGAAAGAATTCCTGCAAAGATTACATGGTGCCTATGGGATTCGCTACGAAAACGATTGCGCAGCGGCGAGGGCTGTTATCCATAACGATGAGAAGAATTTACCATAAGAATGAGAAGAAAAAATCCCGTAGGAACGAACAGAAGAGCCACAACGATAAGAACCAAAACGCAGCTCACCCATCCCTCAGAGTGCCACTTCCGCGTCCGTTATCTTCCCCGGCGCTGCGGTCGAGACGGACCATTCCTCTCCGGATCATCCGGAGTTATGGGAAACAATGCATCTTGGACCTCGTAAAAAAAAGCTTTCGGAGCTCCCACTATGGGCCAGAAGCACCAAAAGGCGCTGTGATTCTCGACGGCGGTATCACGTAGGTCTCGTCTCGGCCGGTTCCAAAGTCACTCCGACGATGTTACTCTCGGTGTTACTCTCAATCGTTTCAGAATTTCGTCTCGGAAGAGTAGAACTCGATGCATCTTTATCAGCAAATTTGAATAAAATCGTTCTCGTCTCCAGTGGTCCCAAGACAACCACCTCTTCCAGTCAAAACTCATCCCTCTCACTGATTCTCACTGGATGAGCTCACCCTAGGGAGCTGGATGAGCTCATCCTCACTGTAAACCAGTGATTTTCAGCATTTTCAGCCAACTATCAGATGACCTGCCCAAGACCACGACCGTATCAGTAACGAGACTGTAGAGGATATTTGAAGCGGTCGAGCTTTTAAATACATGAGGTCGTGAAATTGTGAACAAAAAACAACTACTCTACACCGTTAACTTTTTTCATTTGCTGATGCTTGAAATTTTTTATGATGCGTATCAGCGGCAAAAGCCTGTATTGGTACACGTACCAGTGGTTGAAAATCTCTGCTGCGAACGAAATGTCAACGATCGATTTTTAAAATGCATCAGGAGTCTCATACAAGGCGAGGTCGAAAAAAAAAGTAGCCGAAATTTATATATCAGAATTGTTATAGGATATTATCAGAGGAATTTTTATTTATTTATGAATACTTACTTATATATAATATGGGATATTTTAATTGCCCAATTTTCAGCTGTTCTCCCTTCTACAATTTTTTTAAATTATAATAATGTATCACATGTTCAATCCACCTTCATCGTTGCCGAATTAATGATACACGACCAATTAAATTTTGTACTGCCCTCTTTATCATGTCAACTTGAATTTGTCTTATTTCTCTCTTGGTGTTGTGTTACAACTCAAACAACCCCTCTCTTTGAGATAGCCGCAGAGGGGGGGGGGAGCTTAAAAGAATGAGGTCTGGAGAGTACGGTGGCCAGATGTGCTCCGTTCGACGGGAAAGTAAACGACCGCATGGAAAATGCTTCCTCGGTCAACCCGAAAGAACATGCCGCGTAGCTAAATTAGTTCGCAGAATTGCACCTTATGGATCGTGAACCGATCGAGTGGGACGTCGAGAACACCCGCCATTCCATCGACAGGCGAAAACGGTAACGAAAAAAAAAGTGGAAAGAGAACTCACCCAATGTTTCATCGCCCTGCACGCAGTAGGTTGAGGTTCCGATTTGTACTGCCAATCTAACCGGCCTAGTTGTAAATAGCCGGCTAGGGCAGGGACATCCGATATCTCCGTTTCGTCGCCTCCCGCCTCTAATAAGAGAATTTTCCAGTGCGGATTCTCCGAAAGGCGGGAGGCTACTACCGCCCCCGCCGAGCCCGCCCCTACTGTGGAACGAGAAAGGAAATCAAAGCCAAAAATTAATCAATTATTAAGGGCTATCCGGAGGGGAAAAGTCGAAAATAAAGAATGAATCAGTGATCAAGCACTATCGCATTACAAAGAAGCAAAGAAGGGGATGAGG